GCCCAGCTGCAGGGCCGGAGGCCACGCACGGGCCCGGAGGCCACACACCAGCCCCGGAGAGGCAGCAGAACGCGGAGCAGAGCCCTGGCCACGCAGGCCCGGCCGCACAGGCCAGCATTCCTTCTTTTTAGAGAGAGATTTTTGCTATAGGGCACATGCACTAGCCAAGAGACAGAGAGACAGAAAGTGAGAAATCATCCCCCAGAGTGATGGCCACGCCACAATCCCTTCTCTTCCATTCTCTTCTTGGAGTTTCGGGCATGCACGCACATGCGCCTGGCATGAGTTTTAAGCCACCAGATCCAGGACTTGAACTGGAGTCAACTACGTGGGAATCCAGCAATCCTCTGGCCCCACAACTATCGTCACTCCTAGGGCTTACCCCACAGTAGCATTTATCACAGAGAGCCACCCCCACTTCTCCACCCCCGTCCCGCCCCGTAACTCTGAGGGCAGTAGCTGCCTAGCTGACGATGCCCAGCACCTGCGGGCGTGTAATACCTTCCAGTCAGGCTGGGCAGGTCACTGGGTAGCTGCCGGCTCACCAGTGAGTGAAGGGGTGAGTGGGCCCTTGGCCAGCAGCCGGCCCAGCTGCCAGGTCCAGCAGGCCTCCCTGCCACCCCACCCCTGGTGGTGACCCCCTCTCTCCTTGCTCCTAGTATCTCTGCCTGCTGCTCGTCATCTTCCTGGTGGAGCTGGTGGCGGGAGTCCTGGCCCACGTGTATTACCAGAGGGTGAGTGCCACCCTCCCCCCACATTCCCCGTCAGCCCCGGAGAAGCCGCGGGGTGGGGGGTGCCGTGCTGGGGAGGATGGAGCCAACACCCGGGTGGGGCCAGCTTCCCAGGCCTGATGACCCTGCACACTGGATTCCAGCTTTTCATCCCGGCTCCTGCAGTTCGGTGCTGCATGTGGCCCCACGGATGTCCTCAACACAGGCGCTGGGGAGCAGGCGTTTCCCGGGGAGGCCGGTTCGTGCTCGCCCTCCCAGGGGTAGATACGGGGCCTGTCTGTCTGGACAGCCCAGGAGAAAGGCTTGGGGATAAGTCTGCAGCCAGACTGATACGCTGAGCGTAAAGGAACCAGCCCCACCTGGGCCCTGTGTCTGGGAAGGGAGGTCACAGAGGGAGACTTCAGCTGTGGAGACAGCTGGGCCCTGCTGGCCATCCAGTGGCATCCCGTGGTGCCCACAGGGTAATGATCAGAAATATTTAGACTCTCACCTTGTTTCCGTCAGAATGGAGGTGAACAGAGCCAGCCCTCTGGAAGGCAGACTCCACATGACTGACTCGCGACTGGTTCCCGGCCCCTGGGTGTTGTAAACCACAGTGCCCACCCAGGACCCGGGCGGCGTGCAGCCTGGCCGGCCCACAGTGGGGAGCGCGCTCTTCCTCTCTGTCTCTCATGCGCACACGCCCTCTGGCATGAGGCTGACAGCCATTCACAAGTGCCCGGTATCCAGCTGCACCGTGCCCCAACCTGAGGCTGACGCTGGAGCTGGCTCCTCCCCAGCCTCTCAGCTCTGCCCACCGCCCTCGACCCATCAGGGCCCCGTTTCATAGCACCCTATGGACGTCTCCCATGCTGTCCCCCACCGATGGCCCATCGCCCTGTCGTCATGCATCACGGTCCAGGGTGCTCTAGAGCTCGCTGGCACAGTTGGGCAGCCTGGGCACCAGGCCGGGGCCGGGGTGGGGGCGCCCTGCTGACGCGGCCTCTGCTCTCCCCTCCCAGCTGAGTGACGAGCTGAAGCAGCACCTGAACCGGACGCTGACCGAGAGCTATGGGCAGCCCAAAGCCCAGGAGATCACGGCCGCGGTGGACCTCCTGCAGCAGGACGTAAGCCAGGGCCCTGGGCTTGCAGGCCAGGCAGGCGGGGGCCCAACGCCTGCCCCCCC